AAAAAAAAAAAAAAAAAAAAAAGATTGGCCAGGCTCTGCTGCACATCCCCAGTCTCTCTCTCTCTTTCTCTCCGACGCCGTTCATCCTGAGGGTACCGCTGGATACTGCCGAGGCTGCACCCCGGCACTGGGACTGGCAAACGACACAATACTACAAGTTCTGCTTTTTGTATTTTTGTTTCTCACCTACATGTTGAGTGTGGCTGGGAACCTCATCATTATAACCCTCACACTTTTGGATTTCCATCTTAAAACGCCCATGTATTATTTCCTCTGAAATTTCTCTTTCTTAGAAGTCTCACTCACAATGGTCTGTATTCCCAGATTCCTGTATTCTATGGCAACTGGAGATAATACTGTTACCTACAGTGCTTGTGCCACCCAATTATTTTTTATTGTCCTCTTCGCAGCAACTGAATTGTTTCCCCCTGCAGCCATGTCTTATAACTGCTACATGGCCATCTATAAACCCCTGCGCTACACCACTATCATGAAAAAGAGAGTCTGCACTGCCCTCGTTCTCTGCTGTTGGTTGGCTGGCCTGTTGATCATCCTCCCCGCTCTTGGCATGGGCCTCGAGCTGGAATTCTGTGACTCAAATGTGATTGATCATTTTGGATGTGATACATCTCCTATTTTACAGATAACTTGCTCAGACACAGTGTTAATAGAGAGAATTGCTTTGGCTTTTGCTGTGCTGACACTCATTTTTACCTTACTGTGTGTGGTCCTCTCCTGTACATACATTGTCAAGACCATTCTAAGATTCCCTTCTGCCCAACAAAGGAAAAAGGCTTTTTCCACCTGTTCTTCCCACATGATTGTGATTTCCATCACCTATGGCAGCTGCATCTTCACCTACATCAAGCCTTCAGCAAAGGAAGGAGTGGCCATTGACAAAGCGGTGTCTGTGCTCACAAGTCCCGTCGCCCCTTTGCTCAATCCATTCATCTACACACTTAGGAACAAACACGTGAAGAGGCCTTTAAAGACACAGTAAAACGAGTTGTATTTCTCACAAAGAAGTAAGAGACTATTAGTGTTTTTGAGACCAAGGTAAATTAAATTTAAATATTAATAACCCAGAAGTAACAATTGTGAATTTACGAAATAAGTGGTCTCTTTATATTCTGTAGATTCATCAAGGTAATCCAATCCCAGGAAGATTTTTTTCTTATAATACAAAAGCCAAAATAAAGCTTTTTCTTCTTTCTTTCAAGTTTATTTTATTCAGTATGGTTTCTTCAATTAATGTATGTCCCAGAGACCAGATTCCCCCAAGATAACCCATGTCATAAAAGAGAAATTTAAATAAATAAAATTATATTTCTGATCATATCGCCACCTCATGATACAGAATATAAATGCCCAGAGAGCATTTCTCACTCATTGGGAAGACTTCAGTGTCTAGTGTTCAATAGTACAAGTCATTAGTCATGAAAGATTCTTTACCAAATCTTTAAAAATGATCTTTAAAATAGTAGAGCTCTTTTTCTCATTTTAAAATGTTTATTTTTCAGGAATGAGTAGATGGTATTAATAGAACAAATTCAAAATCAGTGAAGATAATTATATTTTTTCTTTTAAATCATTTATATACAAAAATATTTCTGCTGGCCTTTCTGAAAATAATGTGGCTCTACTATATCCTGAAATATATGATTACAAAAGAGAAAGAAAAAGACTTCTAAATGTTGGAGACTTCTACTGACATTACCATCAATGGTGCTTAGACACAGACCCAAGAAGAACAAGCCCCGAATTTAGGAATAAGATAAGTAAGTCTTAGTTAATTAAGTTCTCCAGTATCCAAAATTTTATTATCCCTTGATTTAAGGAGAAAGTTAGAAATTAGGATGGTTGATCAAAGCATCAAAAAGTTCGTGATTTGGAAAAGACATTCTAAGGAGTGCTTTGCTGCTTAGCCTAAACTACCGAAGATAAAATCCAGGTATAGTGTGAAAAAAATGATAGAGAAGATAGAAGTGGTAAAACAGGTAACAGTTACACAAGGACCTTGGATCAAATGATTAAAATTCTTTCTATTAAATGGTAATGACAGTCTTTGTAGTTCTGCACTTGTGAAAATAAAATTTTGTGCTTTCACAATATTATTTATGTTTATTAACCAACACCTCATTGCTCAAATGTACTTTTTATTTTGATCATATTTTTAATTGTTCTTTACATGATAATGGCCATAGCATGAGTGCAAGCTTCTTCTATACTTAAACAATATTCAGGGAAAATTGGACTCTATTCTCCAAGACCTTTCTTTTTTTTTTCCACTGAAAATTTCTAAAACACTAAGAGTCCATACTGATACAAATAAATAATGGAATAAATTAACAAAGGAGGGAGAAATATTGTGCAGAAGGATCCCAAATAATTTATATAGATACTTCTCTTATAGAGGAGAAACTGACAAACACTACATCAGTCAGATGATCCAGATAAACATCATACATCATGTTGATATTATGTACCCTTGACAGCGTGAGACAAAAACAATTCCACTTTACCTCTGTGGTCTTCTTCCCAATAATGTCAGACGACTTCCAATAGTGGGGCATCTTATATTAATAAAATATGTAATCAGTAATCTTCAAAGCTGCCAAAGTCTTCAAATATAAGAAAGTCTGAGAAACTGTCACAGGCGAGAGGAACCTAAGGAGATCTGATGACTAAATGTAACGTAGTGCCCTAGGTGAGGTTGTGGAATAGATAAAAAGATGCCAGGTGTAAGCTAAGGAAATCTGAATAAACTGTGGACTTTATTTGATAATGTATCAGTACTAGTTCATTGGGCTTTCCTGATAGTTGAGGTGGTAAAGAATCCGCCTGCAAAGTAGGAGACCCGGATTTGATCCCTGGGTTGGGAAGATCCCCTGGAGAAGCGAATGGTTACCCACTCCAGCATTCTTGCCTGAAGAATTCCAAGAACAGAGGAGCCGGGCAGGCTGCAGTTCATGCGGTTGCAAACAGTTGGACACAACTGAGTGACTATCAGTTTTATTATAGTAACTTTATTCTTTATAGTACTAAACTGCTTCCCTTGTGGTTCAGCTGGTAAAAAATCCACCTGCAATGCAGGAAACCTGAGTTCGATCCTTGAGTTGGGAAGATCGCCTGGAGAAGAGATAGGCTACCCACTCCAGTATTCTTGGGCTTCCCTTGTAGCTCAGCTGATAAAGAATCCGCCTGCAATGTGGGAGACCTGTGTTCAATCCCTGGGTTGGGAAGATAACATGAAAAAGAGAAAGGCTGCCCACTTCAGTATTCTGGCCTGGAGAATTCCAAGGACAGTATGGGGGATCACAAAGAGTTGGACAGGACTGAGAGACTTTCACTTTCACTTTTTCAATAGTTCATTAATGGTAATAAATTCATCATCCTAATGGATGATTTTAAAAGGATAAATTGGGTATATGGTATACAGGAATCACCCTTACTATCTACTCTGTGGGAACTCAGTCATGTCTGACTCTTTGCAACCCTACAGACTGTAGCCTTCCAAACTCCTCTGTCCATAGGATTTTCCAGGAAAGAATACTGGAGTTGGTTGCAACATCCTTCTCCAGGGGATCTTCCCAACCCAGGGACTGAATCCGTGTTTCTTATATCTCCTGCATTGGCAGATGGTTTCTTTACCACTAGAACCACATGGGAAGCCTGCTACCTTTTCTATTTTTCTGTAAATCTAAAATGTTATTTTAAAAAAGTTCTTAAAAATAAAATCTATTGAAAAATAAATATAAATCCCCAAGTTAAATAGCAACTATTTCTCCATGCTGAGAAAAATCCATGGTTACTTAAGTGATGGATTTGAAAGAAGACATAAAGATGTGTTTTGCCGGCCACTCAATGCAAGGATGCCTCCCAACTTCATTGTTCTGTCTCTCATTTTTCTCCTTAGTCTCCTGATGACCTATGCTTGACACTCTCATTGCAACTTTCTTACCAATCTCTCTGGGATGACTTCTCTTAAACATCTACTTAACTTTGTTCTGGAGATGGCAACAAAAGATCTTTATTAGTCCCTCGGAACCAGGATCCCCAAGGAATATATTGTTTCTCAGCAAAATTGATCCCAATGTGGCTGTTCTAAAGAGAGAAAAAATATGTACTTTGGATGTTTAAAAACTTCTAAGAAGTTAATGATGGCGCAATGGTAAAGAACATACTTGCCAATGCAGGTGACGCCAGAGATTCGGCTTTGAACCCTGGGATGGGAAGCTCCCCTGGAGCAGGAAATGGCAACCCACTCTAGTATTCTTGCCTGGGAAATCCCATAGACAGAGGAGCCTGGCAGGCTATAGTCCATGGGGTTGCAAGAGTCAGACACGACTGAGCAATTGAGCATGCTTGTCTGGATCTACAGTCAGTATATATGATGGAAACTCAATACTACTTTCTATTCTGGCAGGGCCAATTAGGGGATAGAACCCACCTTAGATTGAGAAAAGATTAGAAAAGTGAAAAAGTAAGCAGAGAGCATTTCTTTAAGAAAACTGGATCAACAAATATATAAGTCTGTCTTTTAAAACTCTTTGGGTTAATCTTTCCACCAGGGCAAAATGTTTCAGGCAAATATAAAAATTAGAAATAATTAATGATATTTTCTGGCATTAATACTAGATGAAAACAAAGTATAAGTTTCTTATAGAGTTTCAGTCTGGATGCCTGGAATTACACTGCTTTTGACACAAATAGGTAATTAACATGGAGAATCAGCATTGTGCTTTTTGATTATTTCTCAAAATTGGTCTTCCTGCCCTCTTTCAAGATCCCTACTTCTTAAATCCACATTCATACTTTTTCCAGAATAATCTTCCAGAAATGAATTTGAGCTTTTCACGTTTCTCAAAAACATTCTTCAGTGCCTTCTTGAGGACAGATTTTAGTCAAATCTTCTTAAGATAGCACTCTAGGACTTTAGTCATCTGGTGTAAAAATTCTTTCTCACTGTCCTCGTCTAATATTTCAGGCCTTCTGTTCAGTCACGTGAGATCATGCAGCAGAGTTTCTGCAATGCAGTTTCCTCAGTCTAGAAGATCCATCCATTTTTTGAAAAATAATTGCTTCTAACATAAAATTGCAAATCAACTATACCTCAATAAAAAGAATTTTAATGAATAAAAAATAGTTGCTTTACTGTTATATAATTCATAAAATGCATCCTTTTTTCTTTTTTATTGAATGAAATATTATTTAAATTCTATAGTGCTTTACAATTTTCAAAAATTACACACATATGCTTTCATATAATCCGATAATAACCTTTTTTTCCCTTTCCCTCCCCTTACTGGTAACCACTAGTTTATATTCTATATCGCAGAAGTAGAAAATAAAAAACTTGTGGCTACCAGGGTGAAAAGGGAGGAGGGCTAACTTGGGAGATTGAGATTGACATGTACACCTTACCATATATAAAACAGATAACTAATACGGACCTGCTGTGTAACACAAGGAGCTCTACTCAAAATTCTATGATAGCCTATATGGGAAAAAAAAAAAAACTAAAAAAGAGTGGATGTATGTATGTATGTAATGGAATCACTTTGTTGTACTAACAGCAACAGAAACTAACACAACATTGTAAATCAACTATTAAAGTGTTAGTCGCCCAGTCATATCTGACTCTTTGCAACCCCAGAGACTATAGCCCACCAGGCTCCTCCATTCATGGGCAAGAATACTAGAGTGGGTTGCATTTCTTTCTCCAGGAGATCTTCTCAACTCAGGGACTGAACAGAGTCTCCTGTGTCTCCTGCATTGACAAGTGGATTCTTTACCATCTGAGCCACCAGGGAAGCCATAAATAAATCAGTCTGACTTCCCTCGGGGAATTCTGAGCAGCTTCTCTCCTAAATTCATCTGAACTATCTCTAGGCCATGTGGAGAAAATCAAGTCTTTTGACTTTTCATCTGATTCTTTTTGTTTTGCAGATGACCTGTTGTTGCATCTTCCTTTCTCCAAAGACACACCTCCCACTGATGTATGATGAAATCTTTTATTTCAAAGAATT